CACCCAAATGTGATGTGATAACACCTGATTGCAACGAAATTGCCTTAGTAATAAATATATATATATAACACACATATACATATATATATATTCTTTGTGCGGCCAACGTGTGCAAAAACAGACAGGCGCAACCGACCAAACGGCCAGCTCAGCCCGTCCTGCTTTAAGGCCTCGATGACCAAATCGACATCCTCATCTGGATGTACATTGGATGACCCATCACCGCAGCGGGTGTTGAAGCACAAGGTGGGCTTCATTCGGGTTCATTCACGCGCCCCGACTCACCACACCAACATGCTTCCAGTAGGGGCATCCGAAATCCATGCTTGGGAAGCAAAGAGCACACGATGAAGTCCAGAATTCTGACAAATACAATTATGTAATTGGATACCATCTGGGCCTGAGCCAGTCCAAGAGTCAGGTCAGCCCTCTACGGACCGAACCACCGCTAAAATCCTTCAGCAAGGTCTTGGCTTGGCTTGATTCTTTCTCATTGGCTGCTGTTTGCTGCTATGATATTCTATACATACGCCACCCCAAGCGTCCCGCGCTCCCCCCATCTCCACGTCCAAGCGACCGCTTGCAGCTCTGCGCTCGCAAAGCGCAGCGCCAGGCCGTCCTTCTGCACCGCCAAGCTCATCAGCGCACGGTCGCCGCGCAGCTTTTGTGTGGCAAAGTCCAAGGCTTCGGTGTTTTGCCGGAATGCTTCGAGGACGACACCTATGACGTGGGATTCGTCGGGTGACTCGGGTGAGAAAGTCCAACTGTCCTCTATAGACTTACCGTATATCCATACGGGGGCTAAGGGAAAAACTTCTGGCAAAATCATGTGGTGCACAAAAAAGATCTAGCATTGCAAAGGCATACTCGCAAGTACGGAAGACATTCTGAAGCTGTGGGCGAAGCAGGTGGGGCTTGGCCCAAGCAGTGAACAACACGTAGGTCATCCTCATCCTCGGGAGGACTTCTGTTTTTTGCTAGTTGTGGTTGCTTGAGCGTCCGTGGGCCGGCACTGCGACAGCTTGAAAGCCGCGTGCGAGGGGCCATTTGGTATACTGTAGTTGTCTGTTCTGCTGGTCATCATAGTCTGCTCGTCTGTCCCAACACTTTCTCCAAGCGTGTCTATGGGTAAAGGATGGTAAAGGGGTGCCACGGTTGTTTACGGTGGAAACCGTCCGCCGATGGGGGAACATCTGTGAAATGTCGCAACGGGTCCGAGTCTGCAGGTCTGTCACTGTGTCCAGGGAGGGCAACCCGTCCAAAAGAAACGGCCTGGCACATAATGAACACTATTGACTATATAGGTGCATTTACTTAAAAAGAAAAAACATAGGCCTGGTTTAACATATTTGATTGATTGTCGATGCTGATGCTGCAAGAGAATGTCAAACACCTCATAGCAATTATTCTATCATGTTGCCTTTGGGAAATTCAATGAGGTGTGTTCAGGGCACCCTGGGATGACAAGATCCAGCTGGCTACGTTCCACGATGACCCCTAAATGACACAACGAACACCACGACTGCTCACCACGACAACCACCACCACCACGACTAGATATACTTGTCTTGGAGAGCAGGTTCTGCTCCAAAGGTGCTTGTCCAGTCTTGAGCGGCAAGAAGGGTTCGATATCGAACAACCTGCCCTGCACGGTCCATGGGGTAGGGGGGAACCAGGGTACCTCGTCCACTCAATCCAAAGTGGGTCAAACATCATGCCAGGGTGCCTTGGTCTCCTCTCAAGCGCAAGGATGCAAACTTCAAGGCTCGCCAGTCCTGGTGGATGAGCCAAGCCGAGCCATCGCCACCCACCGTTTCGTAAACGGCAACAAGCGTGGGTAGTAAGGGATGGTGGGCAAACCAGTCATCCAGGGAATGGAAATACTGAAGCACATACGGAACATTAATTGGTTCTACGATCTCAGGCATTGCGATCCTATGTCAAATGGACGGATTGACATGACCGTGAGTCAAAACCAACCGGCCACGACCATGGCACTGGTAAGTGAAATCCTCCTCTTCGTTGGGGCTGTCTAGCACACATGGCGCCAACCGTTGGTCACCACCCCTCAACGCTGGCGTTGGTTGGTGCGTTCTCTCTGCGAAGCTGATGCGGTGCTGACCGCCGATCACCTGGGTGAGCTCCAGCAACAGAAAGCACCAGCCACAGCGTACGCGAGGCGTCGTTGGGGGGGACGTCTGTTGAGGTCGACTCTTGATTAATAGACCCCCCAAATGAAGAGGATGTCCAATTCAATTGGTGAAGCCCTAATGGTGAAGATGTCCACCTAAAGGGATGTCCAATTCAAATGTTCTTGATTAATGAATCTAGATGAGATCTTTTGGGCCTGCCCTTCTTTGGGAGCACGTGGCCAGGCCGTTGCTTCTGCACGGGTGGCTTGTGGCTGTTCCGCAGGCCGCCTGCAGAGGTTCTGTGTGGAACAAACCCATCTTTGGTCCATCCCCACCCCACAGGTGGTGATCAAACCACCCCAAAACACGTCCTTCCAGGTTTCCACGGGTGGATTCCACGGCTGGATTCCTGGATCACCCACTTGATATCATTTGGAACCCAGCCCATTCTCAACCGTCTCCAAAAACGTGTTCAACACCTCTGGGAAATGGACTCCGCGGTCCTCTTGCACCGCCATCAACACCAAAGCCCGGTCGTTCCGCATGGAAGGCTCCAGGATCTCCAGCGCTAAGCCGCAACGTTTCACGGTGCACAGCGCCATGCGGTAGTCGTGGCGCAACGCAGGCGACGCGAAGCTCAAGGCGTGCCAGTCCTGCAAAACGGGCTTTGCCGAGAGACCAATTGGATGGATACGCATCAGGGGCTGCCGTCCCTCGCAAGTCCCTAGTGAGGATTAATTCAATTCTTGCGGTTTCTTCAGTGGCAAGACTGGTTTCTTTCTGTTTCATGCATCACCATGAGCAGTAGTTCACAAACAACAGCAATCTTACCCATCCCTCACATGCAGTGAAGCTCGTGACTTTACCTGAAGGCGGTCCCCTCACCACCTGGCACAAACACACCAAGAAAAATAGAAGGACTTCTGAACTCTGAACAAATGACATAGGGTCATCTTAAGCAGTTGTTGAGTTTACAAATTTGAAAGGACATTTATATAGATCAATAGATCATTTAGCTTTTCCGTTTTTTCCACCGAGCTCGACCCTTTCGGGTTCCTTCTGCAAGGCCAGCTTGATGATCTTAGGGTTGGCCCGCAGCTGCGCATTCGCGAACTGGAGCACCCGCCAGCTCTGCTGGAAGGCTGCCATAAAGGTTTCGATGTGCACGTGCTTGTCCAGGCAAATCACGAAGACCTGGTGCTTGTCCAAACCAATGACAACCGGCGTGACGTGTTCGACGTGAGATCCTGGGACCCCTCGAGGTCCGTGGATGGTTTGAGAGATAGGCAGGGCCGGCGCCGGAGCACAAGGACCAACAAATCCGGCGCTGATCTGCGCGCCCAAACGGGTGGTTCCCCGAACTACAAGCCTCCTGGCCTCCCGGTAAACAGTTTATGTTCATGTTCGGAGAGCGTCCGCGAGGTGGTCATCTTCGCAAGAAAAGCCTTGAGGTTGGAAGAGCCTCTTCGTCGTTAAGACCCTTCGAAAGAAACTGATGTGTTTTTCCAAGGCAGGAATAGACCGGATATTCAAAAAAAACATGTTATACCAGCATAGACCCCAAACAGCTTCAAAACGATTTGCTAGTCAAAAGCGATTTGTTCGGCCACTCTCCTCTCCAGCTGTTGACTGTTGACCATATTCATGAAAAACTTACAATGTTCAATGCGTCTCACGGGCACATTATCGGGCGCCCCATCTATAAACTATAAACAGTATGAGGCGGGCCCCTACGCGAACCTGCTCCTTTCGCGGCCTTCCCATTGGACGTCACTCAGAATTCTAAACACTCGGCCACAGAGTTCAGGGGTGCGGCCAGCAGTGTGGCCAGGGCTGGTCAGCGCGGCCAGAGGACAACAGCAGGACAAGAGAAAAACAACAGCAGGACAAGAGGAGGACAAGACCCGGCCACAGCCCCCGGCCACAGAGTTCAGGGGCGCGGCCAGATAGAACAATAGAACCCCAACAGTAAACTGTTTGGGGAAATATATGCAAACTCGGTTTCCTTTACAAACTGAATCAGCTCATGTAAATGTGCCAGCTTTCAACTTTGCTCAGCCGGATGAGACCGCCACACCTTAGACAAATCCGCACGGCGTCCTCGAAAATCGCTGAAGGAGGGGGGGTCCCATCCGTTTCCACTTGGCATCAAGAACCTCAAGGTGAGTCATATGGCCCGGCCAGGTAATCCGGCATCTACTTGAAGAAGGTCATCTCACAACAGTAACAGTGAAGATCATTGAAGATCCTCAAACACAAACTGTGCCCACATAGAAAGCCTCCAAACTCCAAGCATTTACGTCTCAAGGTTAACCGTTAACCATTCACTTGTTTTCAAGCAGCCAAGTTCAGTGCTCCAAATGGTGCCAATTCAGCCACCGCTTGCAGGTCATCCACATCGCTGTCCCCCAGCAGCAGTCGCTGCCGCTCACTGGGAATCTTCTCGCTCCGCGCGAGGCTTTTCTTCACATCAGCCACCAAGGAGCTCCTCACGCATTGCCCGAAGGAGAGAAACCAACTCCTACTGCGATCCCGATGAGAACGATGAGAACGTGTCACTGTCAGAGTCTATCAGGACTCCACTGTTTAAGGAATCTCGTTACCACACCTCATCAGTGAACAATGGCCCAAGAAGCCATGTGGGATGCAGACCGAGCCACCTCAAGCTTTCTGTGAACCTCTCTTAGCGTACAAGACCGACGCTCCCTTGTGGTGTCCGGTCTGGTCCGAGCGGTTACCCAACCGAGACAGGAACAGTTCCTCTGAACGAACCGGTCTTTTCACCTCTACAAGGCGTTCGCGCTCTTCACACGCACCACCGCGCCACACGCGAGACGTCGAGGAGACGAGTCGAGGAGGTGCCGCTTGGAACGTGTGCATCACCAAGAAGCCGCACCTCTCCAGCGTCAGGGTGCGCAGGGGGCCCTGCAAGTCGCTGATGTTCACCTGGCAACGGAGAAAGCAACCCGATGGACGATGGAAGCGAGTTGGGTTATCGGTCTGGTGGTTTTGGGGGAGGGTATGGAAACTCGATCAAGCGGATCCAGAATGGTTTTGATGGCTTTACATCCTCCGGCCGGGTTGAGTTATCAACTGTCTACGTTATGCTCTCATGACCAACATTGACCAACCTCCCAGGGTCTTTCAACAGTTCTTTTGGAACCCGGCGCAAAGATCATCCTCTTTCCAAGCGAACATGTGTGGCCGATTCTGAAAGATGGTCATTCTTTCACCCCCCTGCGCACCTGGATCTTCGGCAAACCGCTGGGGGTCTTGGCTTTGAGATCAGCTCGCAACTGGCCCTCCAGCTTGGCGCGGGCCTCGCAACGGCGAGACAAGACGCCAGGCCATGAAAGCACTCTCTCAACATGAATGGATCAATGAGCCAGCAAAGAAAAATGCATGTCTTTGGTAGTTGTCGTGCTTGGAGTCTTGGATGTGTTTGGTTACGTGGACTGTTGAGACACCCCGCACATGTCTCTGGGTGGGGTCATGCTGGGCCCCTCTGACCTTGCAAATTGCAAAACCCTCCAAAATTATGCGGGAGACTCATTCAGCATTCTCAGGCATTGGTTTTACATCTCTTCGCAGTCATGGGAGTCCAATTCGGGCAAGCAAAAGCTGAAATTCAGAATTTGGTTAGCCGCCCATGACCAAAGTCACCAGATTCCACACCCAGGCTTGCGAAGCTATGACACCTCAAGAAGCCTATTTTGAAACCTCAATTG